CTAAACCCTAAATCTTACCCCAAACCCTAAACCTTAAACCCTAAACCCCTAAACCCTAAATCTTACCCCAAACCCTAAACCTTAAACCCTAAACCCCTGAACCCTAAATCTTACCCCAAACCCTAAACCTTAAACCCCAAACCCTAAACCGTAAAACAAAAAAAAAAAAAACATCGTGGCAAGAGTCACGCCCGATACTCCCACAGGGGCACCGCCAGCCCCTGGCTTCACTCCGGGCGCCCCCGGCCTGTGGCGAGAGGGTCGAATCTTCGCGGGGAGAGGGTGGTTAATGTCGGGGTTTAGGGTTTAGGGTTTAGGGTTAATGTAGGGTCCTGAATAATTAGAATAGGGTTTTGGGGTCCATTATACTATATGTATAACAAGGAACCCCCCCCCAAAAAAAATAGTGTTGGTAATTATTTAGGCCCCGACATTATATAGGAGTTCAGGGTTCAGGGTTTCCCGTTGAGGATGGCGTTTCGGGGTTAGGGGTATAGGTGTACGGTTTAGGAGTTTAGGGGCTGCAGGGTCCGCGGATTTAGGGGTGAGGCTTGGAGGCGCGGCGTTTTCGGGTCTGAGTTCTTTATGGAAGGTGGGATTTAGGGATTGAGGCTTTGAGGTTTGTGGCGAAAAGATTCAGGGCAGTGCCAAACTTCGGGTTTTTAGTGTGGAGCGTCTGGGCTTGGGGATAAACCGGATAAGCCATAAATCAGATCTTATAATGCAGTTTTGAAGTCTGGTTTTGAGTGGTCCCCACATGTGTCTAGACTGTTCACATTGTACACACCCCATTCATTGATCGACATATCGTCGCCCGTCCTCTAAACCCTCAGAATCCAAATTCAACGCTTAGGATTGATACCTCAAACCCCTAAACCCTAAACTTATAACACTCCTACATCCAGAAGGCCCAAGTGGCCCCAGAGCAGCGCCCGCCACTTCCAGCTGGTGCTTGAGGTTGACGATCTCCAGAGTTAACTTGGAGATCTGCCTGTTTAGGGTTTAGGGTTTAGGGTTTAGGGTTTAGGGTTTAGGGTTTAGGCTGGTGCTTGAGGTTGACGATCTCCAGAGTCAACTTGGAGATCTGCCTGCTGGGGATTCGAAAAAAAGGTTGAGACCTGCCTGCTTCCCTTTTTTAGCTTTCTGGTTGGAGAGAGAGAGATACATATATATATATATATACATATATGTATATACATATAAATAGCATCTTACAGGTTTACAAAACTTGAGGTATTGGGGAATATTAGGGCGTGTTCTGCCAACATTAGTAGTAACCTGAGGATACAACAGCTTCACAAACTCAAAAGCTGGAACAAAAGAGAACTGCTCAACCCGATGTCGGTCAGCACTACGTGGTATCCTCGCCTAGGATTATAAGTTTAGGGTCGGTTTACGGTTGAGATGCGGCTGCATGGGTTTACGGCACCAGGTCTTCATGACTAGAACTGCTCGCTCCTGCACGGCCACTTTGGGGTTTCTAGATTCAGTCCTTTACCGGAGTGCACTCCACATGATGACCACTAGACCCCTCAAACCCTCAACTCCCCTAAACCCTACACAAATCAACTCCTAAACCCTCGACACCAAGAACCCCAATATAGGGGCCTTAAAAATTATCTATACTACTCTGGGGTTTCTTATTATAGCCGTAGACCCACCCCCCCTATTCTAATTATTAAGGCCCATACATTGGCTCCAGAAGTCTGCCTTTCATTCCCCTCGGCATCCGCTTTGGCCACGTTTTGGATGGGCTTGTTCTGGACGTTCCTTTCACAGCTACACCCCCAACCCCTTCGGGCTTCAGGGCTTTTGGCTTGAGGGCTTAGAACCACCAACCCTCAACAGTTTTGGGGCTTTGGGGTCTAGGTCTAGGGCTTTAGAACTCAAGTACATCTACTACTGTCTAGAACCTAAGAGCCAGCATCAAGATCGGGCTTCTTAGTAATAAAACCCCCTCTAAGTGCATGCACTCCGACTCTGGGAGTTTTTCACCAAGGCCTAAAGGCCCTAACCCTAAACCCAGTTTTGCTTGGAGACCGACAGCTTTAGTGGTGTTTCAGGTGTTTCACTTTTTAAAAAAAGGTCTAAAGGCCCTAAAGCCCTAAACCCTAAGTGCCCAGGCTTGCCAGGGCCGAGACCCCAAAAGCCAACTCCAAAGCGACGCCCGGAAGTTCGCGGTTTGGGGCTTAGGGCTTGCTAGGCCCCGAAGCCCATACCTGAAGGACGAGAAGAGCCCTAAAAGGGCTTAAGGTTCATATACCGTGTAGGCATTCATAGTATAAGGGTATAGGGCCCCTACTTTTCGGGTTCTTTTCGTCCTTAAGGTATAGACACCCCTGCAAAAAAAAGCAGAACCGTGAGTTCAGACCGAAAAATACCTCCTAGCTACGAAGCTATATGAGTGTCCTACAAGGACTTACTGGTGCGAGTATGACGGCTTGAGGCTTAGGACTTAAGGTGCTCAATTTTAAGGCTCAAGGGTTGTTAATTAAGGTCTATGGGCTAGGTTGCTGGACTGGGGTCTCTGCACCTCTTCTTGCTTCTTCTTTGGCCGGAGGAGTGAAGAATAACTCAATTTAGATCTTTGGGGTCTCTGAGATTGCATATAAACCCTAATCCTTAAGCATTCCCCCATGATAAGCCCTAAATCCAAATGCGTACCATGCTTCTGACAGCGGTCTGCAAAGAAGAGCGAGTTGAGAGACCTGGAGTGGGATTTGGCGTGCCAGAAAGGTATACGTTTTGCATTGTGTTTTGGAGGGGGGGGGGGAGGGGGGGGCAATGGGGTGGGGCTTGGTTGACGGATATTGGCGGGTCTAGGGCTGGGGCATGGGATAGTGCTGACGTGTGGAGAGTCGATCCGTCACCATTAGTTTTGGGAGTCCTTTTGGGCGTGCAACAGGGTTTGTCTAAGGCTTGATAGGGTTAAAAAAGGGGCCTTAAGATTTAGAATAGGGTTTTGGGGCCCATTATACTATAGCTAGAATAAGGAACCCCTAAACCCTAAACCCTAAACCCTAAACCCTAAACCCCCAAAATAGCAGAGGTAATGATAAGGGCCCATATATTACGTGGAGTACACACGGCCCTGGGGCTTCTGAGGTGGGTTTAGCGGGATGGGTGTGGGTTTATGGTATGACAGTTTAGGGTTTAGGGTTTAGGGTTTAGGGTTTAGGGTTTAGGGTCCGTTTCAGGCAGTTCTAGAGTTGTTTTTTTAAGTGTAACTGTAATGGCGGGTTTAGGGTTTAGGGTTAAGGGCATGAAATCAAGGGCCTTTCTGCAAGAAGCTCCCGCCTTGGGAGTTGCGGGTTGAGGGTTGACAGGTTCAGGCACTCCCAGGGAACCCAAAATAAGGAAGGACCCCGTGACAAAGAGGGCTTCGCATTTCCCAGGTGCCATCATCCCTAGCCTTAAAAGCAAAAAAGAACCGTGCCCCCAACCCGAAACCGCTGAATGCAATTTGTGTCCTGAAGCTTCAGCACTGCACTCACTGATGCCCCAAGACACGATTAGCTTCAACTCTGACCCAAAACCTGAGGCGTAACTCAAGACCTTGAACCTTCAGCTCTGCATGGAGCTCCTGCCATCTCATGTCTCAATGTGAAGCTGCTCTTCCAGGGATAAGTCTTCAGAAGGCCTTGAAGCCCTAAGAACTGAGGCAGTTAAAAAACTCTGTTGCGTCGCGAAGGGACTCTTCGTAGTTCGCCGCAGATGGATCGACGGTCGTCAGCAGCGTGGTGTAAGAGTTACCACCCAACGAATTCCTCAAGTCAGTATTGGATGGGGGAGGGAGTGCGTTTAGGGCCATGGGTTTTCTGTTGGCTCAGTTAGGCTGGTTAATGGTCTGTGGGTGGGGGCTAAGGGGAAGCAGCTCAGCGTTCAAGGTGAGGGGTATGGGGCAACTATAACTCAAACCCCAAACATTAGCTCTCTCAGCTTATTCGTCGTGAGCTATCTTGGGGAATCTTGATTGGCTTATGCAAGTGCTTTGGGATTGTCGGGTATGAAGTCTAGGGTTCGGAGGCCAGCGAGAGCTCTTGACGGTCACACGAAGTCGGGCAACCTTTGCAAGTATCCCCAGAAGCACTGCGCTCTAACCTGACCAAACCCTAAGCCTGACCTGCACTCACAACTCCAGGACACAACTTTTCAAGTCGATGGAAGGACCATGAAGCCCTCCAAAACTCAAGAATCATTTGGAACTCTACCAAAAGTTCCCCGCACGCAAGCCCCGAAACAACCAACACGACAGTTCTTGTGTCCGACCCCTCTTCTTCAGAACCACTCTCCCTGCAACAATACCAAGGCTCAAACGGAATTCCTTTACAACAAATGCTCAACCTAACCAAAGCCCAAAGGCCTCCATACCCTAAGCCCCAACCTTAAACTCAAACCTCACAGCAGCCCTAAATAGCCCTAATGTAGCAGGCTTTGTAATTAGAATAGGGTTTTGGGGCCCATTATACTATGATTACAATAAAGGAACCCCCAAACTACTCTAGGTAATTATTTAGGCCATTTGGGCCCTTACATACCCTTTAGGGAAACCATTGAAACAACTGCACAGCATAAACCCTAAATTTGAAACTAACACCCTAACACCCTGAACCCCTAAAGCCCAAAGAATCCTACAACCCTGAACTCAATCCCTAAAACACCTTAAGCCCCTAAACCCCTGAAAGGCCTACCTAAACCTTACACCTGAAACTCAAAACCCTAAAACCGCAAACCCTTAGCCCTAAAACCCAAAACCCTACAACCCTAGAACCTGAAACAAAAACCTTAAACGCCTAAAAACCCTTAACCCCAAACCCTAAACGCCTCAAACGCCTAAAAACCCTAAACCCTAAACCCTAAACGCCTAAAATCCCTAAACCTATAAACGCCTAAAATCCCTAAACCCTAAACCCTAAAACCCTAAAACCCTAAAACCCTAAACTCGAAAACCCCAAAACCCTAAACCCTAAAACCCTAAAGCCGCAAAAAACAAAAAAAAAACAAGGCCAGGCTCTGGAGGATCCGCGTCAGCTTCGAGTCGCGGTAGGGGATGTGCCGCGCTTTGTCGGAGGCCAGGGCCAAAACTACCTTTCAGAGACTCCTTTAAGGGCCTAAGGGTTTAGGGTTTTAGGGTTTAAGGGTTAGGGCTACAGGGTTTTAGGGTTTTAGGGTCTAGGGTTTAGGGTTTTAGGGTTTAGGGCACCTTTCAGAGACTCCTTTGGGGGTTTAGGGGTTAGGGTTTAGGGTTTAGGGCACCTTTCAGAGATTCCTTTAAGGGTTTTAGGGTTTAGGGTTTCAGGGTTTAGGGCACCTTTCAGAGACTCCTTTAAGGGCTTAAGGGGTTAGGGTTTTAGGGTTTAGGGCACCTTTCAGAGACTCCTTTAAGGGCTTAGGGGTTTAGGGTTTTAGGGTTTAGGGCACCTTTCAGAGACTCCTTTGGGGGTGTAAGGGTTTAGGGTTTAGGGTTTAGGGCACCTTTCAGAGATTCCTTTAAGGGTTTTAGGGTTTAGGGTTTCATTGTTTAGGGCACCTTTCAGAGACTCCTTTAAGGGTTTAAGGGGTTAGGGTTTTAGGGTTTAGGGCACCTTTCAGAGACTCTAGAGACTCCTTTAAGGGTTTAAGGGTTTAGGGTTTAGGGTTTAGGGTTTAGGGCACCTTTCAGAGACTCCTTTGGGGGTTTAAGGGTTTAGGGTTTAGGGCACCTTTCTGAGATTCCTTTGGGGGTTTAAGGGTTTAGGGTTTAGGGTTTAGGGCACCTTTCAGAGATTCCTTTAAGGGCTTAGGGGTTAGGGTTTTAGGGGTTTTGGGGTTTGGGGTTTTAAGGTTTAGGGTTTAAGGGTTAGGGCTACAGGGTTTTAGGGTTTTGGGTTATAAGGTTTAGGGTTTTAGGGTCTAGGGTTTAGGGTTTAGGGCTTGATGATTATAGGGATATAGGGATATTAGTTTAGGGTTTAGGGTTACAGGGTTTAGGGTTTTAGGGTTTAGGGCTTGAAGGGTTTTAGGGTTTAGGGTTTAAGGTTTAGGGTTTTAGGGTTTGGGGTTTAGGGTTTGGGGTTCAGGGTTTAGGGATTAGGGATTAGGGTTTAGGGATATAGGGATTAGGGTAGAGTGTTTTAGGGTTTAGGGTTTAGGGTTTTGGGTTTTAGGGTTTAGGGTTTGGGGAACCCCATGATCCCCAGAGTACGGTCCCACTAGTAACCTAAAAGGGATCTAGAAGGGATCTGTAAAAGTGGGGCCTGAATCTTTCGAAGATTTGAACACTGTTTCTTTACGTAAGGGTACGATGGTTCTGCAGGAAAGCAATCTGTTAACACCGTCTTGAAATCTTAGGGACACCTTGTTCATACCGCCATAGTACGATCCTTTGCTTCGAAGCCTCCTTGTGAGCTGTGAAACGAAAGCAATACATGCCCCTATCCCAAACCTTCATACCCACCGAGACCCAACGACCTCAGACTGTAAACAAGTCTCCAAACTTGATGTTTACCGTCAGAGTTGAGGGTTGTGGCCAAATGCATAACACCCCCGCCGCCTCCCACCGCAAAACCCGGTTGCACCCTCAACATCGCTCGTCCCGCCTTCCCCAGGGCCGAGAGGGAGCTGTTGATGATGACTGCTTCCTGAAACCTCGGTGAACAATCCGAGGCGCCGGTTTGAGGTGGGACTAAACCCTAAACCCTAAACCCTAAACCCTAAACTAGGGTGGGGTGGGACCATAGGGGACGGTACGAACAAACCTACCAGGGATCACGGGGGCCTGTGGACCTCGTTTCCTGGATACTCCGAGACATGCATGTTGAAAACTTCAGAGGCATTCAAGATTATGAATGCAACGTAAAAGTTTGGTGCTGGAGAACTAAACCCTAAACCCTAAACCCTAAACCCTAAAGGTTAAGGTAGATCAAGATGAGGAAGTAGCGCTCAGAGTCTGGGCATTCGGGCGGTGCTACGTACCTTAATCCCTTGCTACGAACAGCTGCAAGTCAAGGATCCCCTTTCGAGTTTAGGGTTTAGGGTTTAGGGTTTAGGGCCCTCAGCCCTAAACCCCTAAACCCCTAAACCCAAAATCCCAAAATCCCAAAACCCTAAACCCTCAATCCTAATTTTAGGGAGGCTGCGGAAATCAGAGACCGTGTCGGAGCTTCGGCAGCAGAGTTTAGACATTGCTCAAGCCTAGGGTTTCGCTTCTAGGGTTAAGTTCTGGGAGTTGGGGTTTAGGGTTTAGGGTTTAGGGTTTAGGGTTAGGTTATGGGAGTTGGGATTAGGGAGACCCTGCGGAACAGAGACCCTCTCAATAAGGTCCGGTTCAGGAGAGCCGTAAGTTGGGGTCAAGAAGCGTCCCCTTTAAGGGGTCTCCCTAACCCTAAGACGTAGGAAGTGAGGACGTCGTTCTGTTTGAAAGAAACTACCTGAACCTACCAAAACCTACCTTTTTTGGTAGGCTCTTCTTATAAGCCCTAATATGGAAAAGTTACGGGACCTGCAAAGAAGTAGGTTTTGGTAGGCTGAGGTATATTGAGGACGGGAATTCATAAATGAACAAGCATGGGGATTTAGGTTTCCTAAATCAGGAGCTGAATGCAAGGACCTTAACAATTACACTAGGGTTTTGGGCTCCCTTAATGTCGAGCAAAAATATAGCAACGAACCCCAAACTATAGTATAGGTAATAAGTAAGGCCCCTATGTTATGTGGGGTCTTTGCCTGAAAGTCAACGGCAACCAGGAAACCTCCTTCCTTCCGACTGGCTGCGCGCCAGCCTACCAGGGCTTCACCACTTTGGCGCCAAGGGTTGGGGCTCGGGGCTTCGGGCGCAGGACTTGCAAGGTTTAGGAGCTTAGGGTTTAAAGTTTAGGGTTTAGGGTTTAGGAGTTTAGGAGTTTAGTAGCTTAGGGTTTAGGGGTTTAGGTGTTTTGGGGTTTTGGGGTTTAGGGGTTAGGGGTTTAGGGTTTGGGTGTCGGGGTGTGGGTTTAGGAGTTTGGGAGGGTTTGGGCGAACGCTTCAGTTAAGTTCGGGGTTTAGCAGCTCAGGTCTCCCGGAGTAGGGGCTGCAGGCTTGGGGTTAAGGGGTTCAGGGTTTGGGGTTTAGTGTTTGGGGGTTTAGGGTTTATGGGTTTAGGGTTTAGGGGTTTAGGGTTTGGGCACGCCCCAAAACAAAAACAAACAGACAGACAGACAGACAGACAGACAGACAGAGACACACACGCACGCACACAAGCAAACAAGAACAAAGGCCCAAACCCTAAACCTAGAGCTCTATAGCCGCCAATATCCAACGTAAAGTAGGGTTCAGGTTAGGGCCCTAAACCCTAAACCATAAACCCTAAACTAAACCTTAGAAAAAGCGCACCTCTCGGATCCTGCGAGGTCCACGAAGTTAACAACACTGCCGACGACGCCGCTTTTGGGGTCGGACTTCGACTTCTGCACAATGCCTTGAAGGGTGTTTGCCAAAGTCTAGGGTTTAGGGTTTAAGAGGTTTTAAGGTGGCATTCGGTTCTTGCTATAGGGAGATTTGAAACTTGTGTAAGGGTTTAGGTGTTTCATAATTAGGGCGCTTTGTCGGGTTCTGAAGGAGTTCATGGGGTTTAAAATAGAGCCCTAATGATTTGGAACAGGATTTCAAGTATACCCGATTGATTACAGTACTCAAGCTCTAACCCCCCCCAAACCCCCGACGGTCGCCAAAATCTGAACTCCACATCGGGAGCGTAAGCCCTAACAGCAGTGTTTTCGCACGGCACACTTGCCATAACGTCATCTTGCCGTCACCATAGCTTCTCTAGACGCCAAACCCTATGCTAATTATGAA